ACCTTTTGAAAAAAACTGCATAATTAATGCTACAGAAATTTATATTATTTAGAAGTTCAAGTTATCACCTTATATAGAAAGGTTTGTTATAGCGCAAAATTTAACGAAAGTAGTGGTAAAAATCGAAATTGTATATATATATATTTTTTTAATATCGTTTACCAAAAATTTGTTTTCAAAATGGTTATAGTAAATACGTTACAAAAAAAGCTATTAGAATTATATTTGAATTGGCATCAATACTGTTCTAATCGGTCAAGTAGCTTCCGGGATATTAAATATTGAGAACTAGGAAAGTTGAAGTTTAACAGGTTATATTTTCTTGGGTTTTTGCTTGCCCAGGTAATTTGGGCACGGCAACCCCGGATTTTTATTTTTTTTTTTATATTCCTCCTTACACTGCGGCAAATTCCATTTGCTGAACTAGTCCAAATGACGAAGTGCCCGCTATTCTTCCAAATGGAATATTTGCAAGGGTATATAAACCCCGCTGGCAACTCCGCTGCCAACCTATTTACATTCTAGAATTGACAGCGGGCGAAAAGGTAGCACTGAATGTGACAAAGTTTTGATTTAATAAGTTACCATAAGACGGTGAAGTGAGTGAAAAAAAAGATTTGGAGTGAAAAATTAACAGTGTTCGCGTTAAAATATCGCAAGTGGGGTGGAAGGTGGACTCCAGGTGTACAAAAGGAAAGGACTGCTAGCATCCGTATGGTACGCGATTGGGTGCTCCAACAGCAACACATCCCATTGATAGCAACCGCCGGCTACATTGAAGTAGGTAAGTTTTCTTATAATTATTAAGTACCTTGCTTATACCAGGCATTAATAAAATGTATAAACAAGGTAAAAGGTGCGTATTCATGGTCGAATTGCTAAATCGAAACTAATAAAGTGCAGCTTCTATCTGACTCAGTTTAACGAAATGGCAAAACGAGTGTGGAAATGCACCGATTTTCGTTAGATGTGTTTTTTTGGTAGTATCATGCTTGATGCTTAAATTATGTAAATCTTACTTTACTCGCGTAGTTAAGGGTATAAGTGCTGAGGTAAAGTGGACAAAACAACCACAGGCTACGAGGTCCGGGGTGTCGAAACTGCGGCACATACAAACACTTATATGCATATGTCTAAATGTTGCGCACGGAATTACCCCAGATGAAAGGCTTGAGCCCTACTTACTATTGGAAAATTAATCAAGAACGGTTCCTCATGAATTGCGACGTAGTTCATTAGAGCTGCAATACGCCTTAAACTTTGTAAAATCTCTTTTTTTTCCTCTAGAATCCATTAGGCATTAGTCCGTATATAAAATCACGTTTAATTAATCTAAACTTTTGCAGGTACAGCGTCAGCAATGACAACCGCATTTCAGCGGTAAGAACGCGCGGCACCACAACCGCTATATCAGCGGAGCAAACGCGTCAGCAACGACAATCGCATTTCAGCGGTAACAACGCACGGCACCATAACCGCTATATCAGCGGAGCAAACGCGTCAACAACCACAACCGCATTTCAGCGGTTACAACGCGCGGCACCATAACCGCTATATCAGCGGAGCAAACGAGTCAGCAACGACAACCGCATTTCAGCGATAACAACGCGCGGCACCACAACCGCTGTATCAGCAGAGCAAACTCGTCAGCAACGACAACCGAATTTCAGCGGTAACAACGCGCTGCACCACAACCGCTATATCAGCGGAGCAAACGCGTCAGCAACGGCAACCGCATTTCAGCGGTAACAACGCGCGGCACCACAACCGCTATAACAGCGGAGCAAACACGGCGCAACCACAACCGCCATCGCAGCGGCTTTGCAGCACCCGGACAACACAACTCGCAGTACAACCACAACCGCATATCAGCGGAAATAACGTGCGGCAACCACTACGTTGCGTCAGCAACGACTACCGCCACAACAGCGGTTGCAACCACCAGCGCAACCACAAACGCCATCGCAGCGGCTTTGCAACACTAGGACAACACAACTCGCAGTACAACCACAACCGCATATCAGCGGAAACAACGTGCGGCAACCACTAACGCCATCGCAGCGGCTTTGCAACACCCGGACAATAACCGCCACCGCCTCAGCAGCGGTAACGACCAGCGAGACCACCACAACATCAGCGACAATAGCGCGCAGCAACAGCAACAACAGCGCGCGACACCAACAACAACCAACGCGGCTACCATAGCGCTGCACGACTCCTGCAACAACAACAACAGCAGGCCCCCACCAAGGCCTGCTGCAACACGTGGGTGAGTCCTTCGGGTTTAAACTAAAATCTTTTATTTATAAAGAGAAAAAAAGAATAATAATAATAATTTGTTTGCTTAGTTAAAATTTTTTGTTTAAGTTAGAAAGCAAAATTATAAATATATAAAATAAATAAAGGGGTAAAACCTCAAGAACAATAGTTTTAAGAAATTAGAAGCTTAAACAAGATGTGATTGACAACTCAATTAGAAGGAAAAGTACATATATGTAAATTTTGTTCCCATATGCATGGTGGAATAACACAAGGTGTTGGATATTGACAGCGTTCTCGCTCTAATCCGCCATCTTGGCTCCCTTAGCTATATCAGTGTTTCCCTCTTGAAAAAACTACATTTTATCGCCTTTAAAAAAGTACTAAACTACCTCATTCCCTATTCCAAAACCGATTTGCAATCACTGAACAATTCTTTGACATTTACTCTATTCTTATCGTTGGAAACTGAAAATTAAATTAGAAATTTCAACATTAATTCGGCAAAAAAACATCGGTTTAGAGTTCTCCCCAAGGATTTGTAGTTATTTTGGTCGGTGCTTCCTTCCGCTGCAATTCCGTCTGTGGTTCACTGCCACTGGCCTTGCTTTTTCAACGATATAACTGTTTTCTTGGTAAGTTTAGATGGAAGATTTAAACAAGAACTACGTATTTAACTATGCATCTATTCCCCAGTGATTTTTGCTGCTGCAATCCCGTCTGTGGTTCACTGCCTCTGGCCCTGCTTTTCCAACGATATAACTGTTTTTTTGGTAACTTCTACCGCTAAGACTTTGTTGCTTTTTCCCTTTTCCCTAAAAACATAATAGTGCTACAAAGCTCAATAACAATATGGAAACAAATGTTAATAAGCCACAATAATATTGACAATAAATAAGATTTCACTACGATTGAATTTTCTATTAGTAACACGGTAGTTATAGTGAATGTTTTATTCGATAACTAAAACTATATTTGATGTTTGTAGCGATAAAAATATGCCTAAATCAGCCAAATACCCTATGTGGGTCGGCTGAATCAGTAAAACGTGACAGTAGTTGACTTTTGAGGTTAATATATCGGTCTTGAGTTGGTAAGGTTTTTAAAAAATCCGCAGCTTCCTTTAAAGCATCGCTGCTAATTGCTGAGAAAACCAGATTGTATTTACCGACATAAGATGTGGTCTTGTACGACTGAAAGGTGGCCTCAATTTGTAGAAACCATTTGTCTGTCATCTCAGTTCAGAACGGTCGCAGCTTGCATTGCGATGCAAGCTCCACATCTTTAGTTGGCATTTTGTTCGATGAAATATTCTCCCCATCCGTCGATTCGCCCTTTTGTCGATTCCGTCATGTTGTAACGACTCGGGGTCACCACTAATTTTTTGGTTTTGGAAGTTTGACTATAATTATAGGACATTGTGTTTAATAAACTAAATTACCATTTATTGCATAAGTACTACGTTATATATACTACTTTCGCGAATTTAGCTTATCATAATATACCGTTTGTAACTATTTATATGCAAAATTTTATATGAAAAATAGTACCAAATTTCGTACTACTTCGCAAAGCGGGCTTTTTTTCTTCCCGTTTCTCTCGTGCTTCCATATTACAACCTTTTGTAAGGAAGCTGTCGACATGAGCTGTCACTACGTACAACACCTTGTATAATTCCACCATGCCCATTTGTACACACATACGCATATATACATATACGCACATACATATATACATATACCTATGTGCTTATATGTACGTGCATAGGGGGAAATAAAACTTAGGCTTAAGTGAAACAAACAAACCAAAACGGAAATTAGATCACGTTACAGAAACAAAAATGTTTTTTTGAATAAAGAAAAATTAAATAAATAATAAATAAATGAAGTAATATATTGACAAATTCCAATGCACTAACTCAAAATTAAATTAAGTTAAATAAAACGAAATTAAATCAACTTAAACTGAATTAAATCAAAATAAAATAAAATAAACTACTATTCAGTACACATT